TCGAGGCCCAGGCCGATGGGACCGGCCCGCCGTTGCCTGGACCGGTTTTATTATATTTTATTCATTTATTTATTTATTCAATTTGTACCCCGCCCTTCTAGACCGAAGTCTACTCTGAGCGGCCTTCTTTGAAGGTGAGGGCATTCGCCTCGCCTCCAGGGATATCGACATCATCATCATCATCATCCCCACCCACCAATGTTTCCTTCTCGCTCTGAGCGAAACCGGAGACTCAGCGACGGACGGGCTCCCGGTTCGTTTCCGGGCCCGACCCCGGCCGGTCCCTCCCTCAAGCCACCGCTGCCCAGGGTCAGGGTCAGGGTCAGGGGCGCCTCCTCCTCTGGCAGGTCTGTCCTTTCGTTTACGGGGACCTCACGGCCATCAGGAATGTTGTTGTTTCGATTTTGGCACCGCAAGCAACTGAAGGCCCCTTTTCAGCTCCAGGCTAGTATTGGATCTTAGCAGTTCAGGATCAGTATCATTTATTTATTTATTTATTTGATTTGTATCCCGCCCATCTGGTCTGGTCGACCACTCTCGGTATCACAATCGGTTCCTAGTCTTCTTTGGGCAGAGGGAACACAAACCTCTCCGCTCCGGCTCCCAACCGCATCCTCCCATTTCATGTCTACATTGACCATCTGGGGATGTTCAAACGCACAGCTCTGTTTGGTTATTCGAAGCCTATAATTGCAATAAACAGATTCCTGGCATTGCAGACCTCTGTGAGTCGTTCTCCTCCATTTCTGGTCAATAGACCAAATTTTCCAGCAACATTTGGTTCTGATTTGTTTCCTGCTTTTGCATTCCAGCCACCTACAGTAGTTTCTATGGACGGAAAAGAGCAGATACGGATTAAATGGTTTTCAATGCATTCCTATGGGAAATGCATATTCAACATAAGAACTTTTCAACTTGAGAACCACCTTCCAATACGGATTAAGTTCTTAAGTAGAGACCCCACTGTATCATCATAAGCATGTCTTGTTTTGCTAAAACTGTGTTCACGACCTGGGGTTCAAATCCCAGGTAGCCGGCTCAAGGTTGACTCAGCCTTCGGTCCTTCCGAGGTCGGTAAAATGAGTACCCAGCTTGCTGGGGGGGGGGGCAATGTGTAGTAGCCTGCATAATTAAATTGTAAACCGCCCAGAGAGTGCTTGAAGCACTATGGGGCAGTATATAAGCAGCACACTTTGCTTTTGTGTAATGTATCAGTTTCCAGTGAGGTGGGGGAGGCAAATTCCATGCTAGGGACTTGCATATTTGACACTTTGCTTTGTTGCAGCAGTGACTAACATCAGTAAAAAGTAAAAAGTAAAAAATTGAATTTAACTAGCGTTGGGTGAAAAATTATTTATATCTGCATTTTACAAATGTACAGTATATTGTAACCAGACCAGAAATAACATCTCTGAAAAGTGGCTGCAGGAGAGGAAGAGGAAGAACTACAAAAAATTATCTGTGGCAAACCCATCAGCAGGACAGTCCCAGACAGGTCTCAGGCCTCTGCAGAACGTTGTCCAGAATCCTAGAATCATGGAGTCGGAAGGGGCTCTCAAATCCAACCCCCTAGGGCTCAAAGCAGGAATTCAAGCCCAAGCAGATGGTTGCCCAATTTTCTGTTGAATGTCTCCAGCATTTGGAGCACTCGCCACCTCACAATGTCACAGGTTCCATTGTCGTATTGCTTTAACCGTTGTGGGTTTTTTCCCTGATCTTCAGTCTAAATCTGGCTTCCAGTAGCTTGAGCCCATTTTTACATATCCTCCACTCTGAGATGATTGAAAACAGGTTCTGTCCCTCCTCTGAATGACGGCATTTCAAATACTGTATTTGAAAAGTGCTATCCTGTGTCCCTTCAGTCTTCTTTTCTCAAGGCTAAAACATGTCCAGTTTTTTCAGACTTTGCTGGTAGGCCTCTTGGTTTACAGCCCCCCCCCCGATCATGTGCCCTTTTGCTGCTTACCCCTAATTTCAAACTGTTTATTAGAGGAGCCTGCAGCTGCCTCCTCCCCAGCACTCAACCTGCCTACTGGCTTCTCTGCCTCAATTCCTACTTCTGTTTCCCAGTTACTAGTCCCAGGAAGAGGCCTGTCCTCAAATATGTTCAAAATCACTTAGTAGACTTTGCCAGAAAGCTTTTTGGAAGGTGAACCATTTAATCTTCACTGGATCACCACATGCTTCCTTGCACCTCAGGAGAAGAGGGTGAGGCCAGATCGCCTGTGCTGACCTTTTCTCGATCAGCCTTGTTCTTCTGTATGCTTGGCTGCTGTCAGTTCCATGGTGGCAGAGGAGGAAATTTGAGGCAATTCCTTCTCTTAAGATGGGTAAGGGTAGGGGAGGAGAATACCTGATTATCACCCCTCCCCCTCATTTTACACACAGATTTGTTGCATCAGGAGAGACAGAACGAAGACTGCTACTCATGGTTAAGCGATACTCCTGCCCAGGACCTGCCAGTGGAGAACACAAGCAGGAAGGTGCTGTTGGGGTATTTGATTGGCCACTGTGTGAACACAAGAAAGAGAGTCTGATCCCTTCCTGATCCTTTCACCTGGACCATCTCCATGAGTATCACAGAATTGCCCAAGTCCTTTTTAAAGAAGAAAAACAAAAAAGAGGACTTAACATCAAATTCTGCCGATCCCTCAAGCAAGGAAGCGGACTTTCAGCAAACAAAACCACCACCCCCCGGGGGTTGCCACCCAGAGCAAGCAACTGAGGAAGCACTTGTTTTTGTTAGCTCTGGAACCCACTCCTCACAGTTGTCACTCTTGTTCAGAGATCTGCCCTTCTTTTTCCACAGTGAAGAGACATGCAAACAATTCACTTGAATCAAGGGCTTGTACAAGTAATGCCCCCAAACCCCCACAGAGGAGAACAAAGTGGTTTTCGTTCCTGCATTTTTATCCGAAACTACACAGACATCACGAGAGTAAGCAGGGTTGGCCCAGTAGTATCCCTGAACATAGGGAAGGTGGAGGAGAACAACGGAGAACAACAGAAAAGTCTCTCTGGAGCAGAGTTCATGCGGAGAGGTCACTGTTGTCAAATCTCTCCTGGTCATACACCTCAGCCACCACTTTCCGGCCAGCAAACCAGCGGCCATTCAAGGCCTGGATGGCTTTGTGAGTCTCTGAAGCCATGGAGAACTCCACAAAAATCTTCACAATGATCTCTGCATCCTCCTCCTCGCCCTGCTTCTCCTGGTAGATGATGACTCTGTTGACTGCTCCGAACTTGCCACACTCCTCAGTCACTTCCCCTTCCAAGTCATCATCAATGTCCTTGGGGTCCACCATGTTGCGCAGAACCATCACCGTTGACTGGAGGGACAAAGAGAGAAGAGCTCACGACCCCAAACCCGGACATCCCAGAAAGCCCTCAACTCCCCACCTGTGCTGCTGGTGGGGAAGCTGGCAGGGGGTTAGTTACCTTGCTCCTCTGGTTTTAAGGAGCGACGACACCTCCACTGCCCGTGTTCACAAGTGCCACACAACACCTCAGTCTCGGCTCCCCCTCCAATGCCAGGCAGAAATGGCGTCTCCACTTTGCCAGCCCCTCCTCCCACATGACTGCCTTCTCAAGCCTGCTGGGAGCCTCTGCCAGCACCACCCCCTCCCTCCACTGACCTCCTGCTTCCGAAGGAGCTTCTGCATCACCATGTGGCGGGCGCTGCTCCCAGAGATGCTCATGTGCTCCTGCTCGCTGAGCATCTCTGGCCTTTCAGATTCTTGGAAAACCTCTTCTTCCTCCTTCTCCTTCTTCACTTCCAGGAGGCCCAGCGTTGGGGGGCTGGCCAAGATGGGGTTCACCACGCCCACCTGGGGAATGGTGACAGGAATGGGCGGGCGGGCAGGGGTAACGCCTGTCGAAGAGACACAACTGAAGGCATGAAGCAGCACAAAGCAATGCAGGAGATCCAAGACCCGCTCACCCCACCCCAAGAGCCAGAACCTTCAGAAAATGTGGTGGGGAATTGGGCATGCACATGCACACACCCAACTCTTGCTGAACAGTCAATGCCGGCTGAAAGAAAGGCTCGTGAGGAAAAGAAAAACAAAACAGAACAGGAGGCAACCTAGAGAGGGAAAGAGAAGGAGTGCAAGCGGCAGGGCTTCAAGGGGACCCGGTGCCAAGCAACCAAGAGCAGGCCAGCTACACCACCACAAAGGCCCACCAGCCCAGAGAACGATAAGCTGCCAAGACCTCACCAAGAAAGCTCAGTTTCCCTGCCACCGATAATGGTACTCGAGAAACCTCGTGCTCCATGCACCTGTTTGTCCAAAATGTTTATCTGCCACCTAACTGGCCATGCGCTCAGAGCAGTTCACACACTGCTAAAAACCAATGAATGGAAATAGATTTCACAATAAAAGCCAATAAATCACTCCAAATGGCATCTGACAGTTAAAAGTCACTGGAATGCAGCTGTAAAGTTCTGAAAGCAAATTTACTCAAGAATGCACAAGATAATGAAAACTGACTTGCAATTAAAACCGGAACTGTTCCTTTTGAGTTTAGTAGACAACCATGTAGAAAAGAACAACACTGTACTCATTAGAGCTGCAAGGCTCTTCTATGCTCAATACTGGAAAATGAACAAAGTACCCCTAGTGGAAGATTGGTTACTTAAGGTGTTGGAAATGACAGAAATGGTGAAGCTGTCGGCTTCAACTAAGGACAGAGCATAGACAAACTTCAGAAAAATTTGGAAGCCTTTATTGGACTTTCTGTTAAATAAGGAAAAAGATGAACTGATGGTTTGTGGCTTCAAACTCTAGAGATCTGGATATAAATGAGGATACTCCTGTTGTTCTTTAGTCATTAAGTCGTATCCGACTCTTCGTGACCTCGTATGGACCAGAGCACACCAGGCCCTCCTATCTTCCACTGCCTCCCGGAGTTGTGTCAAATTCATGTTTGTTGCTTCGGTGACCCTGTCCAGCCATCTCGTCCTCTGTCATCCTCTTCTCTCCTCCTGCCTTCACACTTTCCTAACATCAAGGTCTTTTCCAAGGAGTATTCTCTTCTCATGAGATGGCCAAAGTACTGGAGCCTCAGCTTCAGGATCTGTCCTTCCAGTGAGCACTCAGGGTTGATTTCCTTCAGAATGGATAGGTTTGTCCTCCTTGCAGTCCAGGGGACTCTCAAGAGCCTCCTCCAGCACCGCAATTCAAAAGCATCAATACTTCGGCGGTCAGCCTTCTTTATGGTCCTGCTCTCGCTTCCTTACATTAGTACCAAGAGAAACCACAGCTTTGACTATGCGGATACTCCTGAGTATGGACTAATTCTGACACAACTGATACTAATTTGCAATACTTCACGATAAGTAAGTGAAGGAACAATTGATAAGTTGTGTAAATAAATGATGGGAAGTTCTAAAATGTCTTGGTTTAGAATAATTTGTTAAACTTGCTTCCTCCTATCTGACCACCCTTCTCCTTAGCGTATCATGAGAAACTTAATTTTATAATCTCTCTCTCTCTCTCTCACACACACACACACACACACACTCACTCACTCACGCTAGGGAAGACAACAGGAGCAGGCAGTCCATCACTGTGAAAGGAAGAATGCAAAGTGTACAGAGGAACTATGGGTAGGTGAAGAAGTGAACCAAAAATGATTCCAAGTAAAGTTGGGATTCTTGGCTTCAACAGGTATCACATGGTTCCTGACTCACCTCTTACTTCAAGTTGCTGTTACTGTTGATGTTGTATGCCATCAAGCTGCCTCCAAATTACGGTGACCCTATGGATGAGCGACCTCCAAAATGTTCTGCCCAGTTCAACTCTTCAAACTCAAGCCCGTGTTCTTCTTTTAGGCAGTCAATCCCTCTCCTGTTCACTCTTCCTCTTCTCCTGCAGTATTCCACCCTTCCCAACATTACTATCTTTTCCAGAGAATCCTGCCTTCTTGTGACCTGCCCAAAGGAGGACAGCCTCAGTTTCACTATTTTTTTCTCCAGAGATAGTGCAGGCGTGATTTGCTCTAGGACCCACTTCTTCATCTTTCCGGCAGTCCGAGGTCAGAACAAGGTCACCACAAAGTTCTCCTCCAACACATCATTTCAAACAAATCAATTTTGTTTCCAGCTTTCTTCACTGTCTAGCTTCCATGCCTGTACACGGTGACTGGAATTACAAGAGTTCTCCACAAGACTGTGGATGATCTTTGTCTCTATTGACACATCTTTAGACTTGATTATCTTTTCCAATTCCTTCATGGCGACCCTTCTGAGTCTTAGTCTTTCTTACAATTTCTTCGCTGCAGCCTCCATTTGGGTTGATGACTAACCCAAGGTACAAAAAATCTTCCACTGTTTTCAGTTTCTTCATCGTCAACACTAAAGTTTTGCAAATCTTCTGTAGTCACGATTTTTTGCCTTCTTAACTCAACTGAGTTGCCTTCTTAATTCAACTGAGGTCCTGCTTTGGCACTTTCTTCTTCCTCCTTCATCAATAGTCATTGCAAGCCCTTGCTGCTTTCTGCCAGTAAGATACATATCTTAAATTACTGCTATTTTTTTCCACCAGTTTCCATTCCTCCTTCATCTGAATCTATTTTGGCTTTCTGTGTGATATGTCCTGTGTAGAGACTGAACAGATAAGCAGATAAAATATACCTTTGTCTGACACCTTTACTTATATATAGGACATCATTTTGCCTCTCTGTCCTAACCATAGCTTCTTGTCCACAGTACAAGTTACGCATCAGGATGACTGAGTGCTGAGGCAAACCCATTTTGTTCAGAACAACCCATAGATTCTCATAAGCCACATAGTCAAAGGCTTTGCTGTCGGTCTGATCTTCTGAATTTTTTGTTGCTCTCCAGCAGCCAGCAGATATTTACAGTATGATCTTGTCTCTTCCTTTTCAGAATCCAGCTTGAACACTGGGCATTTCTCACTCCATCTAAGGTAAAAGCGTATGTTGCAATACCTGCAAAATCACTTTGCTTGCATCAGAAATTAAAGCAATGCTCCTATAGTTACTGCTTTCCTTAGCATCTCCTTTCTTAGGGACAGGAATATATATTGAGCGTTTCCTGTCTGTGAGATATTGTTTTGTTTTCCATTGGGATTTTTTCTTGTTAGGATTTGGACAGATTTAGTCTCTATGGCTTCAAACCATTCTATTGGTATCCCATCTACCTCTGGTGATTTGTTTCTTCCAAGTGATTTTGGAGCAGCTTTCACTTTGCTTTCTAGAACTGTAGGTTTTTTATTGTAGGATTCCTCCTCAAATGAGGCTGTCATCCTTTTATCCTTCTGTGTAGGTCTTCAGCATAGTGGTTCTATCTTTTTATTTTCTCCTGGTCAGATAATGTGCTTCCCTGTTGGTCTCTCAGCATCCCTAATGTACTATTGAATTTCCCTTTGATTCATTGGATTTTCTGGAAGCGATCTCATTTTCCTCCTTTTGTTGTTTCTCTTTTATTTCTCTGCACCGGCTGCTGTAGTTTTCTTTGTCTCTACATGACACTCGTTGAAAAACTACATTCACAGTTCTGCCCCTACTTCTGTTACCTTTTGCTTCTCGTCTTGTTGTCAGTGAACTAAAGTGAAATGGAATGGGATATTTTCAGTCAAACAACTACAAAGTGTTCTACACTAGAAATGAAAAAATCGGGGAAAAATGGAGTAGCTATAATACTGAAGCAAGATGTAACACAGGCAATTACAGGCTACAATGCAAGATCTGGCTGAATAATATAGACTCCATGGAAAACCTATCAATCTAACCATAATTGAAAATTTGTACTCCCCCTACTAATGCTGAAAAACATGAAATTGAAAGCTTTTATGCAAATGTACAGAAAGAAATTAATCACACAACAAAACAACACATGCTTACTGTATAATCATAAGTGGCTGGAAAGAACAAGTAGGGAACAAAGCAGAACCAAATGTTGCTGGAAAATTTGGCCTAGGGAACAGAAATGAAGGAGGAAAACAACTCATAGAATTCCGCAAAGCCAACAAATTGTTTATTACAAATATATGCTTCAAAAAACCGAACAACCAATTGTACACGGACAAATCAGGCACCTCAATATAAAAACCAAATACACTTAATTGGAGACGGAAAAGCTGTATTCTCCCAGCCAAGAACAAGATCAAAATTGGTCTGTTACTGATCATGAACTGTTAATTTCCAATATTAGAATAAAGCTGAAAAAGAACACTAAAAGAATCACAATGCCAAAATCTAAACAACATTCTGAATGAATTTAAAAACTGCATAAAGAATGGATTTGCATTACTAAACTGACCATGAACCAGAGATATCATTAGGGAAGAAAGCAAAAAGACAATTCCTGTAATAAAAAGAAAAGCCTAGATGGATGAGAGAGAAGAAACACTAAAAATAGCAAAGGAAAAAGCAGAAGTAGGGTTAGAACCCTGAATGCTGATTTTGAATGACTGTCATGAAGAGGCAAAGAGAATTACTAAGTAAATAGATATGGATTAAGAACAATGCACAGAGGGGCTAAGATCCAGAAGGAGAGAGAAAAGTTCAGTCAAAATTATTTTCTAATCTGGGAATACATCCAATTATTCCTGAGAGCAACCTGCCAAAGAAAATAGCAAGGGACACAACCAGTGCGCCAAGCTGTGTGCGAAAGCAACTGACTAACAATCAAGAACAACTTCCAAAGCCAAGGGGCACATCTGAACCAATAACCCTACTTTATACACACTGAGAACACATAATTCAAGGGGCTGGGATTGTGGCCTCCAAAACAGCTAGATAACTGCAGGCGTTAATACAGTGTACCGCAGCAAAGGGGGAGGGCCGTTTCCAGGGTTGAACCCTAAGCTGTGTTCATCCTCCTCATGTCAAATATCATGAAACTGGTGCTGAATTGGCTGCCCCTGTCTTGAAAAGACCACTATAATGCCAGGGAAGGCACAGAAGACGATGACTAAGGGGCTGAAGGAACTGGGGCACCTTTCTCAAGAGAAAAAGCTGGTGGGTTTGGGCCTTAAAGCTTCAAAAGGAGACAAAAGAATGAGACAAAGATGCCATAAAATCAGGAGGACAGGTGTGGGAAAAGTGAACAAGCAGAGGTTTGCCTCCCTTCCTTACCAGCACAGAATTTAAGACTGGGATATTTTCAAGAGGCGAGTCAGGCAGTTTGTGGGGGAAGAAAGCCTCCAAAAGTGCCTGGCAGCTGCTCTTTGCCAAGATTGACTCAGGCCTCGTCTGGCAACAGAGGCCTCGGTTCAGGCTCTAGGCACACAATCCTTCTTTCCAGACTCACCTGTGATCACACCGGGTGCTTGTGCAGCCATCACAGCCTGTGGGAGCGCCCCCAGGGGCTGTGCTAAGGTCAGCGCCGGAGTCACTAGTCCTGGAGTGGTTAAGGTGCTCAGGACAGCAGCGCCTGTCACTCCCGCCACCGCTTCCTGCAGCACAAGAGTTGGCACCGAAACGTTAGCCCTGCTACAGCAGCCAGAACATTCCGCTTAGGAGAAGGAGTCCGCTGCCCGCTCTGCGGGGGAGCCCCCCCCCACCCTGCTATCTGCTCTAGGAGGAGGGGCTCCTTCTCCCAAGAAGGAAGAGCACAGGACCACAGAAGCCACAGAGGTTCTGTTCAGGGGAAGACAGTCCCTTTATAGCAGGGGTGGGCAACAGCCAACCTGCCCCGTCATCCACCTGGCTGAGTGCTGAAGCCTCCCCCCTCCACCTTCCAGGCCTTGATTCCTCACCTGCGCTGTGATCTTTGCTGTGGCAGCAGCTGCTGCTACTGCTGCTGCAGGAGGGAGCCCACCGGGCGTTGCGGGAGTCAGGAGCGGCATGGGGGGAGTGACCGCTTTGCCAACACGAAGGTACTGGCCGCCCAGGTCAAAGAGGTTCATGGACGAGACGGCATCTTGAGAGGACTGCGCCTTCTCATACTCTGCCAAAACAAACCAACCAAGAAAAGCCACTGCTATGAGAACAAGCACCCCAGCCACACACTTCCCTCAGTAACTCACCCGCGTCTCGTGAATTCTGTATCAACGAACTCAGGGACGGTCAAAATCACGAATGCCACTTAACCTACAGTGCTAAAACGGTGGCTCTCTGCCACAAGCAAAGAAAACTGATCTGAGCTGCTACTGCAACCAAGAAAGCCCAAAACTTCAGCTCAAGACACGCCTTCTGCTTTTTTCCCTTCACTTGTCCTTCTTTAGAAAGTGCCTCAGCAGCTTCAGCTGAGTTCCCCCCCAGCAGCATCAGCCGCATTTCTGCCGGGAAGAGTGGAAGGAAGGGCTCTGTGCGGGGCCCAGGCGCCACACAGTGTCTGCACAGGCTGCAGTAGTGACATCAACAGCTAACTTGCTTACCAATGAACCCGTAGCCCTTGTGCTTCCCTGTTGTGGGATCTCGGGCCAGCGTGCAAGATTTGATCTTTCCGAAGGCCTCAAAGACGCTCTTGATATCGTCATCAGAAAGGTCCTGGTGGACTGAGGCCACGTAAATGCGGTTGAAGGCCCGGGCCTCCTCGGCCAACTGATCGATGATGGGCTGGGCTTGGCCAATGTTGCTGGGCCTGCCAACCTGCAAGCAGAGGGCTCTCCTTCAGGGATACCAGCAACACCCCACACCCCTGCAGAGAAATGCCCCTCAGCCCTGCGCCTAACAGCACAGAAACCTGTCCCCCCCTCCCCAAAATTACTCTTGGCATCTAAAGACAACCTGAGGAACACCGGGGCAAACCCCTCACCCCACCCATTTCCTTCAGCAATGTATTTGGGGGGAGGGTAAGCTGTGTAGACACCCTGCAATTCTGCACCAGGTCTATGGAACGTGCTGATGGATCCTGCTCCTCTCTGGAAAGGATCTGGAAGCTGCCGGCCTTGAGGGCTGGGCGGGTTTGTGCACAGAGAGGCCAGAATGCTTGCTGCCAGCCACAGAGGAGGACAGGAGAGGAAGCCGGCAGGGGAGGGAGGGAGGCTCCTTCCCCAAAGGATCTCCGAGACAAACAGGCCACGCTCGCCTTTCTCATGGCTGCTACTCACCTTGATGTTCCGTCCTCCCAGCATGACCGAGTTCATTTGTTCCAGGGCTAACTGCGCGGCTTCAGGCACCTCGTACTCCACAAAAGCAAAGCCCTGGGGTGGGGAGAAGAAAGGAGGTTACTGGGCAGCAGCCAGCAGCACAGGCAGCCCTGACCCGCCCAGGCCTCCCACAGCAAAACAGACCTTGCTGCTGCGGCACCAACCTTGTGCTTCATTGTCACAGAATCCCATGACATGTCAATGCTCTTGATAGGGCCAAAAGGGGCGAAAGCCTGCCGGATCGTGTCCTCGCCCAGCTCATAGTAAATGGAACCCACGTAGACCCGGCACATAATGGCCAGGGCCCGCTGCCTCTGAGCGGCCATCTGTAGCGGAGAGAAGATCTGGCTGGTTAGCTTGGGGGGGAGGGCAGATCAGGCAGAGGACAGCCCTGCCCCACAGCCCCTCCCCCTTCCAAGGAGCAGCAGAGGCCTCCAGAGTGGCCAAAGGAATCGCACGCTGCTGGGAAGGCCCAGCAGCCCTGGCCCAGCCCTCCCTGGCCTCCCTCTGACAGAGGAAGCAACCTAGCATCCACCCTGGACCCCACCCCAAACAACCAGAGACACACCGTTTTGGGTCTCGTCTTCACTTGGCAGCCACTCCCCCGCCCCCAGGATCCTGCCTCTCCCTCCGAGCAGGCACCGCTGGGAAGACACACCAGTCCACACACACAAACACCTTCCTCCTGCCCAGCCATGTGGCCTCTGGAAGTACCTGCCGCTCTCCCGTGTGTGTACAGTAACAGCAACTCCACCCCACCCATCTCTTCAAATAATGACCCGGCCGGAACCCTAAACCACCTGCCTGCACACCAAAGCCAGCTGGTCTCTGAAACCAGGCTTAGGGGCCTCCAACTCCCAGCTTGCTTGTCTTTAAGGCGAAGATGCCGCAGGAAGCTATAGCGGCCTCCTCTGAGAGCAGAAGCCACATACCCGCATGGCCCGCAGGAAAAGAGGGGACAGCAGTTCTGTCTGGAGAGGAAAGAACAAGCTGCTGCCCTCAGAGGCCCTTCGGACGCAAGCAAAAGGGAACCCTCGCCCGGGAGCTCAGCTCTGTCCAGGCTTGGACTGGGCAACAGGGCTCAGCCCTGAGCGCTTCTGTCGTCGATAAAGAAAGCTAAAACTTGGCCTCGGCCCCCACATGCCGGGCCGCACGCTCAGAGCCTCCCTGAATGGCCCAGTGGCACCTGCCCTTCTTGCCATCCTCTCCCATCTGAGCTCCCTGGGGGGGGAGGCTGGGTGGCACGGAGAGGCCAGCCAGACTCTTCCCTCCTGCCCTGCCATAAGTGGGGGTAGGGGGGTGCCTTGACCTGGCTGGCAACAGGACCTGAAGCCTGAGGGGCCACTCCTGGGGTCACTCCTACGCTCTCAAGAAATCCAGGGCTCTGAGGACCTCTCCGCATCCCCCGGCACAGTTCAGGAGCCAGCAGAGCCAAGAGTTAGGGAGAGGGAGGGCGTGCATTGGTGAGAGAAGCAAGTGGGGGCAAGGAGAGGTACCCCACCCAAGGACTTCCATGCTTTGCCCTCCTGAGGCCAGCAGGCAGTGCTCGGCAGGGGCCAGAGCAGCCAGGAAAGCCACAGGCTGCACTAATAGCAGCCCCCCCACCAGCGAGGAGCTGCTGCTGCTGCTGCTCCAGCACTCAGTGACTTGGTCACTCAAGGAGCAAGCCTGCTCACCCGAACCCAGCTACCTAAGCCCAACCAGCCAGTCCGTGGAGCGTGGCCAGTACCTGCTGCCTAGAACGAAGCCCTTTCCTGGAGCGCCTTGGCTCTGGTGACCCCTTGAGCCGGGCTCTTCAACGGCTCCCCGAGGGCTCCGGAGGGTTTCTCCCTGCTGCTCACCCGCCGCGCAGCAATACCTGTGAGCTCTATAGGGAGTCGAGGGCCAGCCTGCTAGAAGCCAAGCCCTGCTCGAGGGAGCGGAGAAGGTTCTTATCCTGGGCTCCAGCCCCAGGGACATGCAAAGGGTCAGGCCCCACTGGCCACCAGAGCCTGGTTACCAATTCTGTGGTAACTTTTCCAAACCACCCCCCCTCCCCACCTGCCTGCCCCTCATCAACCCGGCTCATCCTCTTAATGGTCTTCAGGGAGAGGGTTCCAACCTGCCCTGAGCACCTGTAATATCCCCACACCCGGCTGCCAGGCCTCTGGTGCCCCATGCTGGCCCACTGGCGAGTTACCTTGGCAGTTACTTTGAGGTCTGGACCTAGAAAGGCGTCCCTAGATAGGCGTCTCTCCCAGCTGCTTGAGTCTAATGCTCTCTCTCTCTCTCAATCTCTCTCTACCTCTTCCCAGGTCCTCCAAGGGCCCGGCTTTCCTCAGCCCAAGGGGCTCCCTCTTGGCCTTGGCTGGCAGGGCATGTCCAGAGCGGCTGCATGGGGGGAGGGAGGGAGGGGAGAGGGGGAAGGCCACAGCTACGTCCTCCCCATGCTAGGCCCTGACTATGACCAAGTGCCCCAGAAGAAGTGAATGTGTCTATTGACCGATTGTAAAGGTGAGAGAGGATCTCCAAAGCCCATTGTCACTGCTGCCATCTGAAAGACAGTAAAGACAGAGTTCAGTCTGTGGGAGCTGAGCACAGGATGGCTTTTCGTCAAAACTCAAGTGGAAGAGGCCTCTCCTTTCCTCCTTCCCTATCTGCCACCTCCTCCTTACTGCACAACCCTTGCCACCCTGAGAAAGCGGGGGCCGGGGCTTCAGGACTGCTGGGACTCCTCTGTGACCCTCAACAGATGACTAGCTGTGGGAAATGCTCCTCCCTCCAGAGGGCCAGAGCTGCTCAAGGGCCTGGCGCTAGCCCTACCACTCCATGACCTAGCTGACGACTCCCGAGCACAAGAGTTGCCCCCGTGGCCACTAACAGTCCCCCTGGCAGGGAGAGGGCAATATACACTCAGCAACCCCAGTCACCCTACTCCAGGCAGGCCAGGAGCAGAACGCTTATCAGGGAGCTCGGCTCTCCTCTCCTTCCCTCCCCTCTATCTTCGCCCTCCCTCCCTCTCTCTCTCTCTCTCTCTCTCTCTCTTTCTCCCCCTTCTCCAAGCAGCTAAACACCCCCTCCCCCCAACACCAATGCAAGCAAGTATGTGGGCCTGGGAGCTGGCAGGGTGGCCTAACAGGCCACACTTCAATTTCACAGTGGAAACAGAAGCGGAAATACCTGGCTCCAGACCAGTCTCAGGGCTGTGCAGTGGCTCTAAGGGCATGAGGGCTCCTCCACCTTGGGGGGAAAGGGAGCATCAAAGGCGGGGGTTACCTAGCAGGGGCCTCACCTGAAGGTTCGTGAGCTGCTGCTGCTGGTGCGCAATGGTCTGCTTCACTAAAACGCTCTTGATGCTTTGCTCCATCGCGTACTTCTTGGCCTGAAGGGAAAGGAAGAAAAACCCAGAGTCACAGCACAGACCAGAGCAAGCCATCCCAGCGGAGCGGAGCAGAGCCTCTTTGCCAGCACCAGGGAAGTGGAGCATCAGGATGCGGCACCCGAGGGGGGGGAGGTGCAGCAGATGCAGGACCTGAAGAACCTCGCTCTGAAGTCAGGAGGAGCCACAGCTGCTAACAACTGGGAGGGCAACCCCTGCCGCGGGCCAGGACGGTCTGCTTTGCCTCGCCCATCCGCATGCCCTTCATCCACACAGCCCCAAGCCCACTTCTGTAGCGGTTGTCTCAGAGCCTCCAGCTCCCAAAGCTGTCAAGACGGCGTGGGCCCCAAGGAAGCCTCCCTGGCGGAAGAGGAAGCAGGCAGGGGACAAAGCATGGCAGCTCCCTCTGGCCACTAAATGTCCCATCTGGGCACAAACAATCAGCACCGGTGCTCCCAAAGGTGTTCTCAGGAGGGCCATGAAGCGGCTGAAGAAAAGGGGCACAGCCCAGGGTCCTCCACTGTCTCTACATGGTAACAGCCACCCCTTCTCACCCCTGCTGCGGCTGGCAGGGCAAATCCAGGTGAGAACTCCTAGTGTCCCAAAAAACCTTCTCTGGAGCCCCCTGGAGGGCCTCCCCCTATTACTCCAGAACCAGGCCATTTCCCAGCCCACTCCCCTGCACTGGAACGGCTTCTCTCCCCAGCAGCAGTGCGTGAGCAGGTGACGGAAGGCAGCAAGCAGAACCCTGAAAGCAACAGACCGTCCACCTTCTACACTATCCTCCAAACCTTGCTGCCACATCCCTATCAGTGCCCACAGCCCACCACAGTGGGTTAGAGCAGAGGTCGTCAACCCCCCCAGTCAGCAGCCCGGTGCTGGTCTGTGGCCTGAGCTGGGCCCCGGAGACAGACCTCCTGCCCCCTCACGCACTCCCCTTCCCACAGCTGCTTTGTGCACATGCACACGTGCCAACACTGGCATGAGCGCTCCCTACCCCTTTACGCATGCGCCTGCACGAAGGGATGGGCGGGTGTGCAGGAGCTCTTGCGCATGCACCAGAGGGTAGGGGAGTGCTCACGCTGGCGGGCGCACACTCCTCCACCCCTTTGCGCATGCGCCCAAGAGTGCAACTGTGCCTGCATGGGGGGGGGTGTCCCACGCCTCCTCAGAGGCTCAGCCGGTCCGCAGTCCCAAAAAGATTGGGGACTGGTTGGTTAGAGAACTCTGAACCTGGAAGAGCAGAGGCCTCCATGCCTACGAGGCACGACCCAGACCAGCACTGGCAACCTCTAAGCCTCGCTCCAGCTCAGGAGAAATACAACCACCTCCTTGGTCCTGCGGCCAGCCGGCCGGCCAACAGGCATAGCTCTCCCATCCCTACACAGACTGGCCTTTGCCAACTAACAGGTTACTAAATCAAACCTCTGATCTGGGGGCGGGAGGGAGGGAGGACTTTCTATTTCTCACTAAGCTAAGGGTTTAAATGAGGCTTTCAACCATCATTTCAACCCAACTGTGACTTCATACCATCACTTGTTTATTTCTCTTTCAACATTACCAACCCCAAAGGTGCCTGTTTTTCAACTACACTGTGAGCTGCTTTGACTCCCCACTCCAGAAGAAAAACAGGATACAGAGTGCATAAAAGACCCCACGAGGTCCCTGGCCCTTGAAATCCCTGGGCCGCTGCCACCTGAACTCCACCAGGGCTCTTGGAAAAGAGGAAAGGGTGCCAGCCTGCTCCCACGGGGGCAGGCCAGCCTAAGCAGCACAAAAAGTTTCAGTGGAGCACTTCTCACGGTGCCCTTTTTGCCTGAGATGCCTTCCTTCCTGCTTCGTTACTCTGCCCCATCTGCCCCCCCCCGGTCCTGTTTCTCACCACTATAGGACACCCACCCCACTGAGCACAAGAGCTGCCAAAGAAACACTTACCTTCTGAAGTGCCTCCTGCTGCTCTGGGGTGAGGGGAGGAAGCCCCAGCTTGGCTGCTGTGCTCTGTCCATTTTCCACCTTCACAGTCTCTGTGCTCTAAGAAGACAAGAAATACTTCCTTCAGCCAAAAGCAGAAACAGCACAAGAACAAGCAGCACTTGCTGTTCCTTCTTCCGCCTCAGCCCTGTCTCATGCAAAGGGCCTGACCAGGAGGCACCTGCCAGACACCCAGAGTGCATTAGCTAGAAATAAAAACAAACAAAAACCAAACCAAACCAAAGGAGGAAAACGCAGAATGTTTCAGATGAAAATGACACACACTAATGAGGCCCATACCCCCCGCCTTGTTTTCCACCAAAGACGCAGCAGCAACCAGACCATGGAATGCCCTCCTGACTGAGATTTGTCTGGCGCCGACGCTGATGACATTTCGGCGCCAGGTCAAAACCTTCCTGTTCCAGAAGGCTTTTAATTGAAATAATATTAGCTGTGGGTCTGATGGCAATTTTAATTGTATTTTAATTGTATTTTAATTATTTTATCTTTTACTGTATTGAACTTTAATTATTGTAAGCCGCCCAGAGACCTCTGGGTAGTGTGGGTGGCATATAAATTGAATAAATAAAATAATTAAAATAAATATAAATAAATAAACCACACAACTACACATGTACAGAATGGGTACTGCTGATCCCACACACACCCCCTCTCTCTCACACACACATATATGAGAAAAGGAGGCAGGCTTGCCAGAGTAGCAGAGCTGCTCTGTCCCCTGCTGGCCAGGTAAATGGGCTTTTCCACCTGAGTTCCAGCTGTGAACACTAAGCCGCTCTCAAGTCAGACTTGGGAAGTTAATAAGGGAGAGAAAGAACACTGGATAAAGCAACCTGTCTCTGGCAAAATGAAAGAAATCAAATGGCCTGTAAGTCACCCAGCCGGCCAGACGCTAGGAAAGTCTTATTGAGGTTTTCTGGGCCTCAAATCCCAGAATCCCCCAGGCAGGATTATGAGAGTTCCTGGCCACAGACCCAGAGGCTGCAATCCTGTTGTTAATGGACAAGAAAAGAAACTGTTCAGATGCTTCCTAGATGTGGCAGTCTCTCTGCCCTTCTAGCGGACGCCCCCCCCGTGCTTGCGTGCACATGCAAACAAGTGCTTGTGTGCTTTCTCTTGCGCAGGCGCACATGTAAACAGCGGCATGGCACTTGTCTGGGCACAGGCACACTCCTGTGCATGCGCAAACAGCAGCGTGGCACTCGCACAGGTGTACTGAAGCACGCACGCAGCCGCAAACAGGCTGTGCAGGGGTGAGTGTGTGCGGGGGGGGAGGTCCGTCTTGGCAGCCCGGTCAAGCTTAGGCCATGGGGGACCTCTGCTTTAGATGACACAGAGCACGTCCTGAGAAACTAAGACACCCAGGACACACTTCCCCTTTTTGAATCTTAACGACATGAAATGGACCCAACACAAGGCCTTGGTCCAGGTGAGTGAAATGTAGGTTTCTATCTGAGAGTCCAAAAAATCTGAAAGGCCCATCCTTGTCATACAGCAGGTGTGCCGGAAACCGCCTCTCTCTACCCTCCACCCATCAACCCAGGGTTGAGGAAAGAATACTGGGTGCTTCTGAGAGAAGAACTAGAAACTGTCTTACTTACAGGAAACAAGTTGGTACTTTGGTGGGGACTGACCAACAGTGCTGACAGCTCTCAGTGGCTCTGCGTGATTTGCAAACACAGGATTCTTTCTGAGCCCTGCCTGGAGACGCTGGTGACCTTCTTCAGAATTCAGATTAAGTGCTCGATCACTGAGCTCTCAACAGCGGCAGGGACAGACCCCCCCAGGCAGGGGGATGACCCACCCATTTGGGCCTGCCCTTGCGTTGTACTCCCTCTCAGGCTTGTGCTGAGGAGGCCAAACAACACACACAGTGGTGGGGGGGGGGGCAAGCCGGAGGATCCGGTACCTGTGATACTGAGCCAGACCCTTTGCCCCACCTATTAGCAGGGGTAGGTGGGTGGGTCGGGCTCCTCTAGGGCCCAGAGGTCACCTGCGCCCTCTTTTCAGTTTTCAACAAAGGCGGAGTCGCACAAGAGCCC